AGGAGAGGGTACTTCTCAAGGCACTCTTCAGGAGTGATCAAGCGGGCCTCTATGCCCCAAGACTGTGCATATCCATGCTTGCGCTTGAGCTCTTCCAAACGCTCCGGTGTAGTCGCAACTTCCAAGCCACCCAATTGGTTGAAGCAGTTCTGTCCATCCTTCTCCAGGGCTGATAGCTTTTCGACAGTGTATTTTGCGAGCAACGTCATTGTTTTCGAAGGGTTTGTTTGGAAGACCAGGCCGGGGGCATGTGATGTAGAACCACCCGGCATACTCAAAGGACCCTGCTCAACAACGGTGATGTCCTTCCATCCTCTTGAAACCAGCTCATCGGCCAGATTGGTGCCGACGATTCCGGCGCCGATAATGACAACACGCTGAGAAGTCGCCATTGCGAAAAGAACAGAGGAAAATGGATGATTGACTGGCTTCTAAGAGCCGCAGGAGGCACTGCTCTCTTAAGACTACTCATGCTGGCGATAACGGACCAAGCTGCAATGCTTCCCCATCACAGAAGCCGAGACTAAGCGTGATCCAGAACTTCAATTGGAAAAACATCTCGCGTGATGATTCGAGCGGTAAGTGCTGGATCCAATCCATCCGTCGCCCCGCATGCGGACCTGACGACATTGGTGGGGAAGATGCCAGTCGTGGATGTAGGGTCCTGATGTCCATACTGGGCCTAGTGCAACATGTGCCGGGCAGGAAGAGGAAAGCCGTGGCGACACTACATAGCTTGCAGCAACCCCCGCCTCGCGCGTGCGCAACACCATCCGACTCTTCCTTCACTCGACACGCTGCTGCACTTCCGTCTGTTACCACGCCAGGTAAGTCATCATAGTATGTTGAGCTTAGTATGCTCTTCCCCCGGCGAGACTTCTCGCCCCATTTGTCCTGTCGAGCAGTGACAACGAATGGAACCTGCTGCAATCCAATTATTCGAACCCAAACAATCACTTGCTGTAAGCATTGAGAGTGATTGTACGCCATCAAGCCTTACAAAGATGCATTCCACCCATCCACTGCGACAAGCCCGGACACCCTACCATCCCATCAACAGCCTAGCGACAACACTTCTCTCAGATACGCATTCGCACGGGGTGCTGTTCGAGAGCGCCAATCCGCCCTGAACAGCCCTTGCAACGCATCCTGGCCAAGACGAAGCAGTGTGCAAAGCCCATAGAACAAACGAGTCGTTGCCATGGCCTGTAACGCACTCTCCCCGTCTGGAGCAAGCCCATATCGAGCTCACGGCTCTGTCCCCCAATTGCCTTGAGTGCGAAGAAGCACCTTAAATAATCCCTAGGACACACTGGAACTGCGGAATCCCCGTCATTCAGTTTGCAGACCATCTCGACGCCTATTAGGTGGAGATGACGAGACGTGACATGTCACTGTGCTGTCTGCACCTGTACAGCAAGCTCACGACTACGGTTGCCGAAAACACTCAAAGCCTCCGGAAACTTCCACGCAAAAGGCGATGAGGGGTAACATCACATTGCTTGTTGCGCTGGCTCTCGATTCGAGCACATAGCGTTTTTCTAGGCGAGTCACGCCTCATTATTCACACCTACTAAGCGCTTCGCCTATCTTTTTTGGCTCACCGACAACACACACCACATCATCTGAGTGGTCATTATTCACTGAGGATTGGCGTCCGTTTGCCTCAGGTTGGGCGTCCGCCGATTTCCCTCCTGATACCGCTATCTGTTGCGATAGGCGTCGACTTGACTACCTCATCACCACAGCCGGCCTATCTAACGAACTGCATATCGGACTTCCAATCTCAGCGAACTTTTCGATAAGAGTGCGATAACCATTAGGAAGTGTCGCCGCAATAGCTCCGGCAATTATGGTGTTGGCTCAACGGTCAAGCTTTGGGCTGGCGTCTGATGTCCGCTTTTGGAAATCAGATCCATCCAAGCCCGTGCCAACAAGAGGGGCACAGACGAGAACGGCCTCTGCATTTTGTCACCATGATCTTGTCATGCGTCGTCAATGCAGATTATCCTGGGGTAATACACCATTGTCCACTAGCAAGGGCAAGCAGAGTTCTAGCCCACTGTCTAGAATAGTAGAATGATCACGATGGCGGATGGTGCGGTTGCGGAGATGGCTGGTAAATCATCTACCAGCGTGGCGCCTGAGGGTCACCTGCAGTCTGATTACGTCCACTCACCCCACTGGCTATCGCCTCTCGGGAGCGAATGGAAGCTATAACCCCATACGGACTTAGTATATGGTTTCAGTTGATGCGTTTGAGGAGATAGTGAGTTTAGACAGAAAGTATAATAATACTGCAAACATCCATCAGGTTGACCTTCATCTTCTTCAGCAGACTTGACCAGTTCTCAGACATCACTGTCCTTCACTTCCTTTGAAAGCACTGCCAGATATCCGCAACATCTTATCCACCAACACAGTATCCCAACATGGTCGGGGGACTCCTGAGCTACCTAGGCTTTGGCGGCGCAGCCGCCCAGACCCAGCCCGAGAATGAGCCCGTACGGGCCCTTCCTGCAAATTGGTACACTTCAGAAGAGATGTATCAGCTTGAGAGGCGCGCCATCTTCACAAGGAGATGGCTTATCCTCACCCACAAGTCAAGACTCGCCAACCCCGGCGACTTCCTTCGCTACAACATTGCCAACTACGACGTTGTCGTTTCCAAAGACCGATCAGGCGAGATTAATGCATTCCACAATGTGTGCAGACACCGCGCATACCCTGTTGTCGAAAAGGACGGAGGCAACGCAAAGATCTTCTCTTGCAAATACCACGGCTGGTCGTACGGCCTGAACGGCAATCTGGCCAAGGCTCCCGGCTACCAGGAGCTTCAGAACTTCGACAAGGCTAAGAACGGCCTATTCCCTATCCACACACGCATTGACCGCAACGGTTTCGTCTGGATCAACATGGACTCAAAGAAGGTGCCAGAGGTATCATGGGAATCACAATTCGACCATGTCGACGAGCAAACCCGCTTCGATCAGTTCAATTTTGACGACTACGAGTTCGACCACACATGGAACCTCGAAGGTCCCTTTAACTGGAAGATTCTCGCAGACAACTTCAACGAGTGCTACCACTGCAAGAGCACCCACCCCGACCTAACCACCGGACTCGTCGATCTCGAGAGCTACGATGTCTACTGCAAAGCCGACCACATCCAGCACGACCCCAAAACCCCACAATACCGCAAGGATCTCGGACAAGAGATCTGCTCCACATACTGCTTCCCCAACGCCTCCTTCACTGTCACCCAACACTTCCTCTTCATGCAAAAATTCATGCCCAAGTCCCCCACCGAGTCCGTCATGTACTACGAAGTCTGGCGCAACAAGCACTCGTCGCAAGAAGACTTCCTCCTCATCAGCGACACGTACAAGCGCGTCATGGGCGAAGACAAAGTGCTCTGCGAGCGTGCGCAAAAGAACATCGAAGCCGGCATCTTCATCAACGGCGAGCTGCACCCCCGCATGGAGAAGGGCCCCCTCTTCTTCCAGAAGCGCTGCCGCGAAATCGTCATGGAACACGGCATGCGCGAGAAGAAGGCCGGCCACAAGATTTGGCCTGCCAAGCAGCAGCTCGACTCCGAGGCTGGATCGCTGCTTACCAAGGAAATGGAAGATTTCTGCGAGGGTCTCTCGTGCGGCACTGACAATGAGAAGAGCGATCTCGCTTGGTAGTAGTTGAAAATTCTTAGACGACACGAAAACTTTTCTTGATGATTGAACGAACGAAACTACCTTTGGGGTTAATTGCATGGCATACGGGTGTTTTCTGGCGCGGGCGCGTTGGGGGCGCTGTAAGTACTAGAGGCTTAGAACTCGTACTTGTTTATCTTGAAGGGGGAATGGCAAACAGGCACACTTTTTTTTTCTTCTTCCTTTATTAATGATTCTCTCTTAGCGATTTCTCTTGTTTTTTTTTGATAGCGCTTTCCTCTTTTCCCCTCCATGCCTTCTATCTAGATGAGAGAGAGAAATTAAACTTCTTTGCTATCTTCACTATCCTCTTCACCTGATTGTGTTTTTTTTTGCTTTTTCGGGGAGTGGCGCAGAAAGGTGTCCCAAACTCCCACCATCGCCCCTTGGTGCCCTTACTTCCCAGCCCACTCTCTCACTCACAGCAGCGACCGGGAAAGAAGAAGAGGGGACTAGCATTGACCCTGTTCACCTCCTCATCAGCATGGCAAGAGCTCGGGGGGGAGGGGGATGGCGTAAACCCCGATAAAAACCCAATTCCCCTCATGTCCCCATTTCCATGGAAAGGACGCCCTGCATGCCCCCCCCCCTCCCTCTCTCTCCCCCGTACCAGAATCTAGGCGCGTGCGCCAAGTTCCGTTAACGGACGCAGGACCTGGAGATAATGGGCGAACGGGAAAAAGTGTGGGGTTCGACCCAAGACTGCGATTTCGGTCCTAATTGGGAAAGTCTGTGCATTGGCCAATCGGAGAGGGGCTGAGATAACTGGGTTTGATTGGCGGTCGTTGGGGACGGTCTTTTTTTTTTGTGGAGGATGGGGGGCGATGGGCGATCTTTCTTGTGATATGGACGGATTTCTTGGTTGGAGATTTACGGGTTATGACATCTACATATTCACATGTGTGCGTAGGTTTGGTTTGGCTTGGCGGCTATTGTGGAGGAAGATGTCACGTGAGTGGGTGGGCTCTTTGAGCTATTGTGTTCCGTTAGGAGGTATTGGAAGAAACGTCTTACGTATGTATTGTGATTATCTTGGACATGTACACGTGAGGTTTTTCTACCACGCCTACGTCAAGTTGACACGATCACGTGGAGAAGTATCTTGGTAGTGGTCCTCCCCATGTGGTATAGCCGTAACTTCTGCCTAATAGCATTTCCTTCCTTGGCTGTAGATAGTCAATTCACGCAATGTCGATTAGAAGAGTTGGATAAATGTCAAGCGTGGTAGGTTGACGTTGGCATACTTGGGACAAATCTCCACATTGACATGCTTCGCCATATTCACCTATACAACTAATGACGACTTCTGTATCCACCATAACCACCCCATCCGCCCCACGCTTTGCCCCTGGCAGCACCTCTTCCAATCTTGGCCGCTTCGTCATTCCACCTTTGACTTGCGTTGCCGCGTATTCTGGGTCTCTGCTTGTAGCCACCATTTCGATACGTCCCGTCATTATGATACTCGAACTCAATCTCTTTGCCGCGTTTGTCTGGCGCGTCAAACCTGTCCAGCCAGCGATTGAGGTGCACGCGACTATCTTTTGCGCCTGCTGAATAAGAAAGAATGATTCGGATCTTGCGCTTTGGTTTTCTGTCGTCGTCTACCTCATCCGCAGTAGGTCCGTGAGCGCTAAGCCTCGCTAGCTGTGCCTGGGACAAGCGATTCAGGAACGTGACGACATGCGCAAAGTTATGATTGCGGACGGTAGCCGTGATGACGTGAGCGTGGAAGAGGACCGCATCTAGGAACTCTTCCGAGATCTGGTTGTTGACCCCTACGAGGCCGCACCTTGTAACGATGTTGTTGCCGCGCCCAGTTTTGAGCGTCGATGATTCGTCTTGTTCCAGAACGTGCTTGTAGATCTCATCTCGTAGTTCTCGGGGAAGCGCAAGGAAGGGAGGCAGGGTGTCGTATTGCTGTGGCCGTACGGGTTTTGCATGCTCATTCTCCGGGATACAAGGTTCCGTATTGAGGGGAATATTGGCTTTACGGGCGCGCTTCCGGGGTGGTGGCGCAGTGTCCCTGGTGTTCGGGATCAGCGCAGCAGCTTGTGCTTGCTCGTTCTGTTTGCGTTTAGAACGCCTCAACGGTAGTGTTGTCGTCATGATCACAATTGGACTTGGTTCTTTACTCTTGGGGATCCATATGCAGTCTTGACTATGAATATATACTCAACGTGCGCCAGGGTGGCATACCGACTACTTCAGGCAGCAGCCAGGCAACGAAGGGTAAAATGTCAGTCGGCCACTCGTTGCGCCCCATTTTCGCTCATGTTGGCAGTTCGTATAGGCTGACCCACGTCTTGCTCTATGCTTTGGAGGGAAAGGCAAAATTTAGAACATTATGTGCTAGTCTACTACTCGTGGTAGTGGTGAAGTGGCCATGTCGGTTGGAGTTGGGGTTGGAGTTGGTATGAACTGTCTGTAGGAAGGAGAACTCCTGCTCTCTCAGTGGCTAATTGGCAACCTTAAGTACATGAGCGCATCTTCACACGCTGGGTCTGGATTTCAAGAGAGGGCGATACACCAACGGACGCATCGTGAAGGTCTAGATCCCGCTGTCTTCAAGCCCCTTTCCCCGGGCGCTAAGAAAGCACGCGCCAGCCGAGCCGCTGTCCTTTGAGCCCCAGCCGCGACGATAATCTTAATAATAGCTACAACTTTCCGTCAGTCGGTCGAACTTTGCAAACTACTCAGCTTTGCTCTTCTTTGATTTCTTCAGCCATAGCCATTTGAAGATCACGCTTGAATCTGTCTACTCGTGCTAATAAGCACTATCCGTGCACGTGGCGCCTGTCTACCAAATCCCATCCCTCCCTTTTATTGAAAACCCTCAATCTGGACCGCGAAGGTCAACTTTGGCATCTGCAACGTGACGTTTTGGCGCACCTTTAATGGCTCCGCTCATGTGGCTGAAACGAGCCTTGAGGCACAGGTACACGTACTTAGCGCAGGTACTGTGAACTATAATGCCGTAGTCGCTGTCAGCCGCCTACTAGAACGCTTTAAGCGGATGACTTGACGAAATCCTCCCAAACTTCGTTCCGTCAGGTCCGTACCTTAAACTAGCGTAGCCGACCAGTTGGCCTTCGCTCGCGGCTGATTCGGCCATCCATGCCCGAAGTTTTGGTCGATTTTTTCTCGTACAACTTGCCCAAAAGGTCGGGTCCTGCCCTTTTGACTTCTTCATTCTTCGCTCTCTATTCTTGCGCCTTTTTTTCGTCTCCTCAAGGGAAACATCAAGTATGCGCACCTTGATTCTTCTTCCTCTGTTTTGGCTACTCCAGATATGCCAGGCTTTCCAATCGCCTGATATATACTCCATTACACAGCCCGCAGGGGCAAGTGCAGCTCTATCGGAGGACAGTCAGGCTGCTACTATACCTTCCAGGTCGAGGTTAGGAGAGCAAACTCATCTTGTGATGTTGTTCACTGACAGCGCTACATTAGACATGCGGCCGGGCCAAACTCTGCACTCAACATCTTTGTACCTAGTTATCAATCAGACCCCAATTGGTACATTTTCTCCAAGTAGCTTGTTTTAGGAGCAACAAATAACATCATCTCAGGCTTCCTCTGACGCTATCTCTCAAGACAATCGGGTTACAAGTAAAGGTCATTGAATCGCTGAGCATTTCTTCCCAATGCTGGACTCTGCTAGTGTACACGCCCCCAGGCGTGAGTTACAGCCCAACCTCTGCCGATGTCACAGCTTTGAATTCCTTCGTGTCCAGAGGTGGCAGATTGATATTCATGAACAAGGTTCCATCCGCTCTCCAATCTCTTGCGGGGATATCTGCATCTACTGTAGACACGAGCGGTTCACGATCGCTTTTGCAGTTGACCAACACCGAATCGCCTGTACAGGCTCTCCGAGGTTTTGACTTCACAGATTACTACGACATCAACATGCCTTTTTATGAGAATTACACTGAGCAAGGCCTTATCAATGTTGGCTATACACCTGCTAGAGGTTCACAGACACTTGCAAAGTACCAGGTTCGAAACAATGGCGTAGACAGTGCAGATAAGTCCGCTACAAGCGCAGCTATTGTCAGAAACCAACCTTTGGGAGCGAGCGGATATGTCTACAGCATCGGTATGGATCTCGGTTATTTGTACATCCAGGCGCAAAACGAGGCCGGCGGCTACTCGCCATGGTATGATGGACATTACTACCCCGGATACGACATCGGAACACGCATCGTCAAGAATATTGTCACTTCTAGTCCCCAATTTGTCAGCCTATGGACGGTCCCATACAACAAAGGGCTCGCTTTCACCACCACCTGGGATATCGACACCTACGTCTCTTACCCCCACGGCCAGGGTATCGCAGCCGCCGCGCAAGAAAGAGGTGCTGCTGGTAACTTGAACCTTCATACCAAGTATATAACCGATGCCTACGAGAATGCATACTTCCAGTATGGAATTCCATACATTTATCAGATCACCGGGTTCCGGACGGCTCCTGATGGGTACCCGTACATCGATTTTGGCAGTCACACTGTCAGTCACTCGCCAAATGCGGCGAGTTTCCCCTACGGTACTCGCGACGAACGGTATATCAAAGGAAGTGAAGCAGGTTACGCGCCTTACATTCACCAATGCGGGGCTAACGCCGATGGAACACCTCCTGCTGATGAGCAGTGTACAAAGGGAGGTCCCAGGTAAGTTTTCATCGTGTAAGATCTATGCGACATCGACGCTGACTTTGCGCCTCCACCTATGTAGCGGACTTGCGTTCTATACATCGGGCGGCTCTGCATCAGGAGAGGTCCGCGTAAGTGCATTTTTGATTCGATATATACTACAGGATGTATTCAAGACCAATTACAACCTCACCACCTACCGTCCAGGAAACCTTGCATGGAGCAAGTACCAACCTACGCATTGCGTTGCGAACGGATTCATTGGCGGCTCTTCATGCTCAGGAAACTCTCATCTCACCCACCTCCCTTTTCAAGTTACGCACAACCGTGAAGCGTTCGCTGAGCTCCCATACTACGAGTTTCCCCTCCAGTGGTCTGATGGCGATGGAAACATGAGCAGTGCGGATTTCCCGGGGTCAGACTTCTCCAACCAAATCAAAGATATCAAGAAGATGGCACGGTATGGCGGTCACTACAACATCTTGATCCACCCTTCGGACGCGGTTTTCGACAAGATTCAGATACAGCGTGCATTCCACGATACCGTACGCCCTTTTGCAGTCTTCTTCAATCAGACAGGTTTGGCCAACTGGTGGGCAAACCGAGATCGCGCCGTTGTGAACATCACAGCGGTAAGTAGAACATCGGCGACGATGACAGTTCGTCTGGACGGCCCTACGGAAGGACTCACTCTCCAGGTGCCTCGGAACTATGCCATACAGTCCGCCACAGGCTCTCTCTCAGTCTGCCAGCAGCTTTCGTATGATAAGACAACGAACGCAGTCGTTTTGCGAAACACAGCAAAGGGGCTATATACGCTCACCTTCACTATTGGTTTCAGTGATTCATCCATCTCCACATGCCCCGACTTTACACCAAAGGCGATCGGGGATACAGAATGCGTAGCATGGGATGTCATGATTGACGATTTCTTGGAGCTCTACTTCGGCAACAACAACGTCAATTTACTCTTGTTGCAAACAAGCGCAATAGGACTTTCGTCAAACAACATAGATGGCACTTTGCAGCTCACAGCAACTACTACCAGCGGTGTCAACTCGTACTACACGGAGATCTCACGCTTCTGCTTCGACGCTTCGATCTACACCCATCTTTACTTTGACATGATTGCGCCTCAAGGAACCACTTTCTATGTGCAGCTTGTCTCGTACGACTCTGGATGTAATTTCGAAAAGCCGAGTCCCACGTACTTGGACGTAACCAGATACGCCGCTGCTGACGGCACAAATCATACTGTTACCATACCATTATCGGACTTCCAGGGACAAGATATGCTCCATGTACGCGGTATACGCATTGGAAACATCTCGCCAGACCATGTGCCTATCTATATCGATAATATCAAGATCCAGAAGCGATGCGTTACGGCACCAGGAGAAGATCGCACCCAAGGCCTCGCAATCGAATCATTCCAAAACGTTGATCGATGGATTACTGGCATTAACAACATCTTCGGCCAGACCGACTACAACAACTCAATGACGTTTGCAAAACTCTCGGAGCTTGGAAGAATGCAGTTGTTGCCGTCCAGCTCAAACTCGTACTTTTATACCGACACTGCTGTCAATGGTGTTAATTTGAACGCCACCGGGTACACTGCCGTCTCTTTGAACGCACGTGGTCCGTCTGGTGGTTCGTTTGACGTGGTTGTGACCTCGGGTACTGATAGCACTACTTCTACCGTCAACACCAAGTCTTATGCTACCTTGAGCCAAGACAAGTTTACGAACATTACAATCCCTCTTACGGCATTCTCAGGACTTAAGGCCAATCCCATGAGCCGTATCACCCTACGAAACTTCACGCCAAGTGGTGGTTCTGCTGCCAGCAACTTCACTATGCGATGGATCTCTCTTCTGGGTGGCCCTCTGGGAGGCGGTGCAGGTTCACGATGCGCGAGGGCTTCTGGCTACGTTGTGCTAGACTTTTGCGATCCGGTTGAATTCCAAACGCAGACCAATGCTCTGGGAGCTCCCATGTCAGACAACAAGACAATGACATCCTACAAGCAAGTCGCCAGTGGTTCCGCTGATGTCGTGCCCCGGGATGCGAAGTCGTACTTCTACACCTTGCTCGCACAGACGCCTGGCTGCGCAGCGGTTAACAGTTCTTACGATTCAATCAAACTCAGTATCTCTGGGCCGCAAGGCGCGACTGCCAGCATCGGCTTCAAATATGGTGGCGACAGCTGCAACACCAATGTGGTCACGTCTTACACCCCGATTAGCTTCAGCACTGCGCCAGCACAGCTCACGATCCCATTTTCACGTTTCTCCTCTACTTTCAACGCCAAGTACCTCCAGTCATTTATCATGACCAACTTCAGCTCTCCCGGCTCGACGTACCGCATCCACTCATTGGTCTTCACGGGACCTATTGATAACCCGGGTTGTACGCTTTGCTCAGGTACTGTCCTAAACACCTGTACATTCACGTCGGATGTTCCACGGACGAACCGACTCCTTGGCGGCATGACCGATGAAGGATCTCTTGCCTCGTACTCCGTCAACAGCGACGGCTCGCTCGTTCTAGGGGCTAGCAGTGGTTCGTACTGGTACTCTCAATTCGGCACCACCTGTTACAACGCAAACAAAGTAAACGCAACTGGTATCCAAATCTCCATGGCGGCTCCCGCAGACACCTCTTTCCAGATCTCGATGCGCTGGAAGACGGATGTCGAGTGTTCATTGACGTCGCCAGCCTCTTCAGTCCCCATCACTTCGTACACGAAATTTGCCGGTGCTGATTCGTACCAAGTCACGTACATTCCCTTTTCCGATTTCCCTGGAATGAACGCGAGCAGACTCGACAGCATCGCATTATCAGCTTTCAACCCTTCAAACGCGGAGATCAAGCTCGGTTGTATTAGTTTGGCTTCCACAGCAGTCGTGCCATCGAATTCGACATGTAGCTGTCCTGACTCCGCCTGGTTGAACTACTGCACTTCAAAGAATGTAGACCGCAATGCTAATGGTAATGCGCAAAGCGACGACGGAACCATGGAGGTTGCACCATCTGTCAAAGACGGTGCTTTGGTCCTGCAACCTGCTGTCTCTGGGTCTTACTGGTACTCGCTCCAGAACTGCGCGGACGTTTCTTCGTCCAGCTTCCTCTACCTCAACGTTACGGCGAAGGCGGGTGCAAGTTTCAATGTACAACTGCAGAGTGGCGGGAACGGGTGTGCCGGCTCTACACTGCTCCAGCGAGTCAGTGTGTCAAGCACTACTTATGGTACTCTGGGCAGTGCTCCTGTGCTTCTTAAGATCCCGCTTTCAGCGTATACTTCCTCAGGTAACAGTGCTTTCTCTCTATCTGCAATCAGTGCGGTTGTCTTGGAGGGATTCAACGCTGAGACTTCGATGTATCTCATTCACTGCGCGTACTTTGGTAATGACTCTTCGGGCGGGACAACTGCAGCTTTGGGTGCATCCGCATTATCAGGTACGGCTTCATCGGCTGGTACAGCTTCGTCAGGAAGTTCAAGTACATCGACAAGTGCATCGGCCGGTACGTCGACAAGTCCAGCTTCGCCAACAGGCGCAGCTGCATTGACAGGCGCAACTACACCGACAAGTAGAGCTACATCAGCGGGTACACCAACAGCTGCACCGGCAGCCTCATCAGCAGCTACAGCTGCATCGACCTAGTCATTATTGTATTTTTTTGGAAGAATGTAAAACAAACAAGACATAATGTTAGTTAGATTAATGAAATGTACTAGTATAGACAAAGAAAGTCTCCTTGTAGCCTTGCAGCATGAGGTTGAAGATGACTAAACACCAGCGACTATATACCACAGTCACATATTCTCAGCACTAACTATCCCAGAGCCGCAAATAGGCAGTCTCACTCACCACGCGAACAATACCCTTCAAATGCAGGAGTCGTTTAGTGACAGCGGCATATGTTAGGTATTATAGCCCTAGGTCCATCAGATCATTGCGGAGTGCATATCAAAAATAGGAAATGATATTCATTCCCCGTTGTGTATCCCTGCTTTCTAGGTGCACCGAAAACAGGTACAAGTTTACTTGGCCGGGTACCTTGGGACAAGGGGGGAGGGGGTAGTGGGCCAAGAGGAGGCGTTTTCAGGGCGAACTGTGGGCCCATGGTATGTTGGCTACTTGTATGAAATAGCTATGAATAGATTTGTTACATGATATGTTACTGTATTTTCTTGGAGGATAGGTGGCAGCTACTTGAGGAGCAAACTGCTTCAGGATTTCGAAAGAAAAAAGCGGTAGTACAAAGTGTTGGAATGATATTGTTTAACCCGAGAAACTTTTTATTGATTCCTTTGTGGGCAATGTATGCGATTCTATCGGTATGGATTCTGTCGGTATACATCTATAACCAGCGGCCTTCATGTACGTTTAAGGATATCCGGATATACGCGCAACGAATGGGCCGAAGGCTGTGTCTTTTTAGGGTACTTAAAGGAGATGGTACCGCAAGGGGTGTTTTTAGCCGGTGTGACGACATCAGGGTATAACGGCGCTTATTGGAAGAAAAACATGGGGGATGTGCAAGGGATATCGATATCATGCGTATATGTAAGTAATCATCCGGCACTGCTGTTATTTGGACATGGTTGTTATACAGATGCTCGGATGTACCTTGCCATCCCAGGGTCCTCATCCCTCACAACTCTCATTTAAATTTATTCGCGCAGTTACTTTCACGTACGCTGTATGTGGCGTCCGTGTGTAGACCGAATCAAGTTCAAGGAAGGTATCTTTCTAGAGCAGCGTAGGGGCCATGCCAACTTTGAGATTTGTATTTGTTGGTCGACTAGGATATCAGCCGCACGCAATGAACCGTCGGTGTTTCTATTTGCATATTTAGGGGCGGAAGAGCGGTCGAGTGCTAAATCGTGCGCATGAATTCGCCAATTTGTTTCAAGCTCGAAATATCCAAGACGGTGAAGGGTAAACCATGCGCTGATCTAAAATGACAGAGGTTATTCTGTCAGGTACGCGTCCATGAGGCGCATATAAATCCCTCCTATGTACCATAACAGGCCAGTATTGGTGGGAATACTATGCTTATGCCTTCCGCTACCATCAGTCGATATTTAGTAACTGCATTGTTTGGTGGTGAGACTACAATATATACTCGGGCCGATACCGAATGTCCGGCAATCGGGACATACCCAGTCTTGTTCTTACTTCCGGATGGGACCCGGTTACCGAACAAGATCTGGGATCAAGGTTAAAGAAAAGTACCAGCATGGTAACCGAGCGTATTTCAACGGGAATGTTTCGACCAATAGCCAGGACAAGTACAATGTTGCATCACTAGTGCCTACCCTATGCAACTCTCGTCGCGCTGGTCGGCCGTAAGTTTAATCAAAATATGCACTGCTTTGTCAACTTTACCAAACGCCTTGTTTCCACTACATCAAATTATATAAATACTATTCGTAGAACAATTTGATGACATTCCCACCCACCAGTCTTCACTTGCTTAATAACGACTTCACACCATCACAACCAACCCAATCTTCAAGATGCGCTTCCTTCAGATCATTCCCGCCGTTTTTGCGGCTTCGACTCTCGCGGTCAAATTCGAAAACTTCGTCGACACTGCTTGCCAACGATACTCCGGAGACTACAGGCTCATCACAGTTGCCGACCAAGAGAAGGTCGTCCTCGACACGTGGGCAAAAACGGTTACAGGGCAGGAGACTTCACGTGCATTCTCTCCAAAAGGCTCTTGCCCTTCCAACGCGGACGATACACACAAGTGGGTAAGTTTTGCACAAACAATATAATTTCTTTTGCATTTCCTAGCTCAATGCTAACTTTGTTTAGATTTCCATGCCCCAGTGGAATGATGAGGAAACTCGTTTCGGGCGTACAGCAGGGGGTGCTATTGCTGTGGTCTACTTCAACGAGACAGACACCTACCACGCCTGCAGATACTTGGCTTCTGTCCAACCAAACGGTTATGCAGGCTTTTGCCGGTAGAGTGTCAAGTCACTTACTCGGCAATTTTGTTGGTTAGCATAGTGGCCAGCCGCTGCTTAATGTTTGAGGTGTGTACTCTACGACTTTCTATGCTTGGTTTCTATGCTTGGTTTCAATGCTTCTGCAATGATCACTGTTGATACCACTGTAAATATAAATTCAAAATCAGAAGTTGCTTAATTGCATATCATGCGCCATAACAGGTTCACTGTTTCAGCTTGTCTCTCTCTACTTGATCTCTTCCAGTACACTATTCTGCCTTCCTGTTTATTTTCGAACGCAGAAAAACACTGAAACTGTTGCCGATTGTTCCTTCCTTAAGGAGAAGCAAATTCAAGAGTCACATATGTAGTACCATAACGATGTGTATAGCACATCAGCTGCTATATAACGTAATAGTCCCTACTCATCTGGGAGTACAAGAAATGGCTCTCGCCTTCAAACGGCTGCATTGAGAAGGATGGCAAGATCATCGAGCATTTAACGTGTATTCCAGATGGTCCCAATAAGATAGATAAACAAAAGGCTATCTACATACGACAAATTTCCTTCTCCTTTACTCCTCAGCTGCAGCATCAATAACATCCTGCGCCAACTTCTCCGCATGCGCATAAGTAACACCTTGTGTATGTCCCGGCGCTCCAAAAGGAAGAGAGCTAGAATCTATAACCCTCAATCCCTTGACTCCAAATACCCTGGCTTTCGAGTCTACCACAGCTCCATCGGAAACATTGCGACCCATTGCGCATGTCGCCGCTCCATGATGAATCGCGCCCATGCCCTTGGTGCGAATGTAATCAAGGATCTGAGCATCGGTCGTGGTATTCGCTCCTGGCGCAATTTCCGTGCCAAACGCAGAGATTCTTGATGCAATCGTTCGTGCGCGCCTATATGCCGCAACGGCCATTTCTTGGTCTTCTTTTGAGTCCAGCCATCCGATGTATACAATTGGTGCGACGGTATTGTCGGCAGATTGAATCGTAATGTTTCCTCTGCTGGAGGCGGAAGTAAGAATTGCGCCGATGACGCCAGTGTTACTGGCTGCTTGGGATGTGGAAAGCACGCGCTCGGAAGCTTGTAGTACGTATTCGACATTTGGCCAGTCGGAAGGTAGCTGATTTAGGTAGTCTTGAGTTGACTGGCTCATGTTTCTTGTATATTCTTCGGAGAATCTGTCCCACGCGGCAAAGTCGCTGGCTGGACTGCTCAGAGGGCCCGATCCGTTCTTGAGGTAGGATTCTACGGCGTCGTTGAAGGATGTGGCACTACGTGTCCAGGCGCTCCTACCAGGTACGTTTGAGGAGTGAGTGATGCCGCCGAGGGCAGGAGTGTCGTGGAGATTTCGACCCACACCCGGGAGATCAGATATTACGGGGATGTTGTGTTTTTCGAGCGCTACTCGCGGTCCAATACCAGAAACCATGAGGAGATGTGGAGAGTTGATGAAGCCACTAGATACGATGACTTCTTTGCGCGCATGAAGGATAAAAGGCCTCCTTCCTGCGACTGTGACATTGACTCCAAAAGCGCGCTTGTTCTCATCAAAAAGAAGATTACGCGCCATACATGACTGGTATATTTTCAATGAAGTCCTGGTAGCTGTCCGAGAGAGAAAAGCACTTTCCGTACTGCTTCTTGTGCTGTCTTCAGCGCGCAGCGTGAACGGCCAGTATCCGTAACCAAGTAAGTTTCCGTCTACGAAACTATTGGCTGCTTTAAACCCAGCTCCAGAGAATCCTTGAGGCCCAAATGAGGATATCGATTGAGCGTACTTTGGATAGCTTAAGTGTACTGGTCCTCCAGGACTATCAAAGCTGGACAGCGTGAAATTTACCGTAGCGTTTTCGGCGCGGTATCTGGTATCTGGCGGCGTGAAGGAGAAGCTCTTCTTCATGAAAGGGAACATATTGTCCCAGAGGTACGCTGGGTCTCCAGTTATATTGGCCATGGCAGCATACCAGCCTTTGGTTGCTCTGGATGTGGGAGTCAGTAGTTTGTAATAACATGCAAAGAAAATATTGTCGTACCTGTGGTAAATTTGCTGGTTGCGTGCTGAGCTTCCCTACAACAATGTTTAATCGTAGCCCAGCGATGCAAATTCTGAACTGGCTAAACTTACACCAAGAGTTTTACCCTGGGCATAGAAATACCTTCGTCCATTGGCACCTGGGATGGGTTCCGTAAAGTAGCCCCAATCTATCAATGGCTGGTAATCGTCTGAGCTTGGCCCAACATACATTGTGGAATAGTATGGTCTAGAAAAAATTGAATCGTAAGTATTGATACACATCTGTTTCAATTTCTACCTACATTTGACTGTAGTTGCCATTTGAAATCTCGTAGAAAGATCCCGCTTCTAGCACTGCGACCGTCTTATCTGGCAACGCCTCTGCAAGCCTCGATGCCGTAAGAGCGCCAGCAAGACCAGCTCCAACAACGACGTAATCAAATGTCGCATTTACACCAGGGTTGCCAAATGAATTGCCAAGAAGACGGCCTGGAGCATAGAATTGTTGAAGCAGGGTATCGCCATCAGAGTCCGCTGCGACAAAAACAGTCCAGAGACCGAGGATCTTTATGAAATGTCGCATTGCGGTTTCCTTTGTGCTACAACGCAATGCAAAAGAAACTGTAATAAATCAACGAGACAAACAGTCGCATCTTGACCATTTATACACTGGCGGTGAAGGAAGGACATGATTTCACGATCTGCAAGATCCAAACGCTATCATCTCAAAACTGCATTTCTGGTCGTGGTAAAGCTCTAGCAAAGCAATGGTGGCTTGCAGGAGATCTCCACTATAGATTTACATTGATCGTGCACGGCAACCCTCATTGGATACGAAGCCCCCGGTGCAAGGATTGACGGCTGACGGATCGGAGCGGCACCGTCAGCTAGCGGCGATGGATGCAGCACCCGGTTCAAGGGAATAAGAAAAGCGTAAGGCGTGGTATTTAGTCAGCCATGCACCACTTTCCATTCGCGGATTTTTGACCGGGTTTGGTGATCATGTACATGCGTTTTACTCGAGAAGAATTTCTGTTTCTAGATTAGGCAACTGGTTTTACTAAATCCTCCAGGAAACTTTCCGCATACAACTTTACCGTCTCGAAAGTAAAAGCCTAATACGCATGTATTGCTTCTTTGACTTCATGCTTATGCAGCCTCTCAGCAAACCATCGCAACTTCAAAGAAGCCGAGAATAAGCTAACAATGTCAAAACAATATTATGGTATTTGGGTAGTTTTAAGGGTTCGAGATCGCCAAATCGCGTTTGCTAAACATCGAAAGCAACCATCTAGGTTTCTTCTTATCGTACATGTGGTGTTGGCAAAAAGTCGCTAGATCAATGCATAATTGTGTTAAATAGAGAACAGACAGTTTGATGGTAGATATGGAAAGCCTTACCGAGGTCTCGCCGAGCAAGCTGCTAAAGTTCGTCCAATCCATTATAGATTGCCACGATACTCAAAGGCTAAGTTGACGGAACAACCCTAGAGCCTGTCGATCTCATCAAATTGCAGCCATACATGTACTCAATGTATGTGTATCTCTCGATTCGAAGTCTCAACAGATCCTTCTGAATCTATCGTGATCTAAACCTTATTATTATTATTCTCATATATGTGTCAAAACATCTCAAGGGCCTCGCGATATTGCGCAAATTGGCATACCGGATTTAGTAACGTGCACGACTTACTGTCAGGAGTAACCCGGGCACTGACAGAATACATAGTCTGCTCTGCAGCATGTTGTTACTACATACTTGGATACTATTCAACAAGCTCCTCTAGCACTTTCCACTCTATTTGTGTACTTATTCCCTTAAATATTGGCGCCTAAGCCCCTAAGATCTATATCTCAACCGCGCTCTTCTTGTTAAAAATATAGTGATGGATACCAAAAATCGCATAAACCACTGTCGGAGTGAATCATGACCATGTACGAAAATGAAAAATTCCATTGCAGCTGAGAAGAAAAGTTTCCACAGTGGCGTCCCATGTATTGTGTTGTACGAGTAAAAGATAAGCACCTGCCCTGGGATATACCGACAAATAATTGAGTTTGATGGTGCCGAACCGCTATCCCGTGTGTACCTTCAAGTGTGTCTGTTAGTACTTACCGAGCCCACGTGGCAAAGAAACGCTTAGAAGGGGAGTGAATAGACGGCTGTAATTCGGTTCATCACTAGTATGTAGATAGTAAGCTGATGTTAATGACTTGTCTATGCTGCAGAAAAGAAGCTTATTTATACGCAGCTGTCACTTCTGCACCTTTGTCTTCTTGTTTCAGCAAATCGCGACACAACTGCAGTCCTCCTGATTCTTCCTACATCGCTCCACACGCTTCAATTTTTTATTCATTTGAAAAATGCACCTTGCTAGCCTTTATCTTCTCATTCTTAGCGGGACTCTCACCCTTGCTTCACCTCCTCCGAGCTCAGTTTGGTCGGTTACAACTAACAATTGTAGCAACGCCGTAAAAAACTGTATGTGGGAAAAGAAGCTGCGAAACGTTGTTATTTATGGTTTTACCATCGGCGTCTGTAGACCTTAAGATCTCCATATATTTAACTATCATATCTCTTTCTGACCTAATCTACAGCAATGGCAAGGCCGAACTTCAGAAGGAGGCTCCGGAAAATTACTGTAGTTGGGATTGAATGAGCCAGCGAGTGTGTAGGGTCAGCATTAGGGTTGAATCAGTTAGGCGTGGCAGGAGTCAAGGTGTTGCAGCTCTACACAGCTGCACATCTCCCTCATTTCAAGACGCTTCCTCTACGCGACAGATAAAACTTGATTGGCAGTTAGAAAATACACTGTCATCTTTTTGATACACGCCAACATGTTAAGATTCTTCTTCGCGCGGCTCTCTCCAGTTCAAGACATGAAAGCAGGCTTGAACATATTGACAGCTGGGGAAAGAGGGCTATGTTGGAGTCTAGGATATATGAGTGAAACCTATAGTATTTATCTACACTATACAAGACCTCGCAACA